GTACTTTTTATACTGATAAAATATTATTGTAGCATTACCTCACATTCCAAATGAAACAATACCTACCAATGCTTCTTATTAGATTTCCAGCAAGGTTGAGATCATTTAAATTCTTCAAAGTTTGCAAGCCCTAAAAATTTAGAAAATATGTAATTTAAGAAAAATCATTAAAACCTGTATTTATAAACCATTTGATCAATATGGTTAGTACACTAGGTGTTCTAAGCACTGAGCACAGAAATAAGTGGGTGCCTCAATGAAGCCATCTTTGTTTCTCTAGAACCTGGAGAGAATTATTGGAGGAGGAGGGAGCATGGAGGGGAGCGGAGAGGAAACAGGAGGAGGAACAGGAAAACGAACACATTACACAAACATGTTTATAACCTTAGGCAAGTTATATATAAAACTTCTCTAAATCTCGTTTTTAAAAAATCTCCAAGGAAGAAATAACACCTTACCTCTCAGGCTTGGTGTGAGGAGTCCAAAAAATGATGCATATAAAGTTCTCTATGCTAGTTCTTTGTAACAACAATAATTAAGCTAATCATGAATATTTTGGCGCTTCAGTATAATATGATCTTGGGCATTGTGGTTTAAACTCCATAGTAGTAATTAACTTCACATATAAATCGATGAAATTATCTTACCTCAATATTTTTAATTGCATTGTGGTTCAGCCAAAGAACCTCCAATCTCAATAATTTCTCTAGATTTTCTATTTTGAAAATTTTATTATAATATAAATACAGTTTTTCTAAATTTCTACATTCTTGAAGACCTCCAATTTTCTGTTCAAAAAAGAGCAGACCGAATAGTGTTAGCTTATGTTTTGCCATTAATCCTTTTTAATAAAGTAGATTTTAAATACATACATTTTTGTTTAAAAATCATATATTACAAAATTAATATCTGGCAAAGTGAACTAAATTTTTTAAAAGAAAAAAACATATATTCTCTCCACCTAAATACAACTATTTTCAATTTTCATGTTCTCCTTAAATTGTAATCATTTTTACACCTATTTTTATATAGCTATAATACCTATACAATTTTGTGAGTTTTTATAACTTAAGACCATCTAAAATGTTTCCATAGCTTTCAACTTATATTTAATAATTACAAAATATTTCATGATGTTATAATCATTTTCTTTAAAACAACTCTACATGTGCATATTTATATTTCAAATTTTAGCTATCATAAATAATACTGCAACAGATAACTTCATGCATACGGTTGTTTTCTGCTTTTGAATTACTTCTTTAGGATAAAATCTTAGAATAGGGATTTCTGAGTCAAATGATATGTACCTTTCTTTGGCTCTTAATACATTTCACAATATTGTTTTTCAATATAAATGTCATAATTTCACATGACCAATAGTGTCTAAGTGAACCAATTTCATTACTAAGCAATACTAGGTATAATTTGATCTGATTTGATTACTAAAAAGTAGAATATGTCTATGTTTTAATTCTTTATTTCTATTTTTCTCTTTGTATAAATTTATTTCTTTTATTCATTTATCTGTTTTGTTTTGTTTTGTTTTGTTTTGTTGTTGTTGTTGAATGGAAAAAAGGTTTTATTGCAATGCATCATGTATGGTCTCTTTACCCACCCCACATTTATCTGTTTTGCTCCATGTCTCAAGCATATATTTCAATGAATTATGTTTCCAAAGACAAAGAATTCAGCATAAAATATTTCATGTAAACTTATAAGTTTAGACTTACCTCTAGACAGCATTCGGCAATCCAAAGTTCTTTGAGTTGTAAACAAGTCTCTAATCCTGAAATTTCTTTTATATCTTGAGCAACAATTGTGAGACTTGTTAAATTAGGAAATAATGATAATCCGACTATACGGGGATACCCTGAGAAAAACATCTCCAGTTTTGAAGTATCTGATCCTTCTTGTCCAACCACCTCATAAGATAAACCATTGCATAAACACTGTTTTCAAAAAAAGAAATCAGGTTATTACCTACTTAAAATAATAAAAAAATTATTTTTTTAATTAAAAAATGGCTTAAAAAAATCAAAAATTATTTTTGCCATTAGAAATTAAAAACAGTCAATTGCACTGATGCCATTTTTACTCTCACAAGAATGAAAGTTGCAATATATATATATATATATA